GGGCAGCCCCATCAACCCCTTTGGGGGCTGGGGGGGGTCCCCTACCTGGGGGTTGACATCCAGGATGCACATCTTGCCAGCCTCCACCACGGCACGGATGGAGTCGATCTTGGTGCCATAGAGGTTGCCCTCATACTCGCCGTGCTCCAGGTATCGCCCGGCCTTGATGTCGGCCTCCATCTCCCCCCGCGACACAAAGCGGTACCCAAGCCCGTCCCGCTCGCTGTCCTTCGGCTTCCGTGACGTGTCTGCCCGGCACAGCCCGCTCAGTGCCCCCACCCACAGCCCCCCCAGTCACGGGTTGCACCCACACAGGTGGGGATGGTGGCACTGGAGTGGACGGGGATGCTCACAGGGGTCAGGGATGCTCATGGGGATAGTGATGTTCAAGAGGATGGGGATGCTCACAGAGAATGTGATGCTTGTGGGAATGATGTTGCTGCAGGGGACTGGGATGCTCGTGGAAATGATGAAGCTAGCAGGGGATAGGGATGCTCACAGGGGTCAGGGATGCTCTTGGGGATAGTGATGTTCAAAAGGATGGGGATATTCACAGAAGATGTGATGCTTGTGGGAATGATGATGCTGCAGGGGACTGGGATGCTCAGGAGGGACAGGGATGCGCATGGGGATGATGAAGCTGGCAGAGGACAGGGATGCTCAGGGGGCCAGGGATACTCACATGGGATGGTGGTGCCATAGCGTGCCTGGTCTGACATGATGAGCTTGTTCTTAAGGCTGCGGCGTCCAACGCCCTGTGCGCCAATGAGCACCAACGTTTTCCTGCGGAATGGCGGCATTCGGGCCACCTCCTCGTAGATGAGCAGCTCATGACGGTCAAACTCTGGTGCAGGACAGGGCTGTCACCCACAGCGGTGGCAGGGGGACCCTGGGGCGCCCCGGCCCATGGGGTGCTACTACCAGCCATCGAGGGTTGCTCACCAGCGTTCTTTGTTGTCAGGTACATCATCCTCTTCTTCCTCTTCCCACTGAGGCTGCCACACAAGGACCCTGCCGAGGGCAAGGGGGAGCTGAGCTGGGGACAGGGACAGTGCTCCATGGGACAGTGCCATGGGAGCTAGGACCAGCGGCAGGGCGATGGGACACCACCCATGGGAACGGGGGACCTGCTGCAGGGACAGTGCCACAGGGATGGGGACATCACTGCAGGACATGGGGACACTGCCACAGGGTTCAGGAGACACTGCCATTCGGCCATGGGGACACTGCCATGGAGTAATGGGCACCCGCCACACGCCCCCAGCTCCGTACCGGCAGTGGGGGCCATGTCCCCGTCCCTCCGCACAAAGGCTTTGCGCTTCTCTGCCCCCCCCCCCCCCTCAAGCCCCCTGCCACGTGGCACGCCTGGGGACAGCATGCTGGCACTGGCCCCGCGGGCACCCGAACATGGGACACCCCAACCATGTGACATCTCAACCACGGGGAC